TCACACAAGTATGAGCAAGACAAAGAGATGCTAGACTAGATGGAAAGCACTTGCATATGAAGGGAAGATCAACCGGAACATCACACTAAGTATGAGCATAATAATGAGTGATTGGACTAATGAAAAACACATGCATGTGAAGGGAAGATCAACCGGAACATCACACTAAGTATGAGCATGACAATGAGGGATTAGACTAATGAAAAGCACATGCATGTGAAAGGAAGATCAACCGAAACATCACACTAAGCATGAATATGGCAATGAGTGGCTAGACTAGATAAAAAGCACTTGCATATGAAGGGAAGATCAACCGGAACATCATACTAAGCATGAACATAACAAGGAGTCATTAGACTAATGAAAAACACATGTATGTGAAGGGAAGATCAATCGGAACATCATACTAAGTATGAGCATGACAATGAGTGATTAGACTAATGAAAAGCACATGTATGTGAAGGGAAGATCAACCGGAACATCACACTAAGCATGAATATGGCAATGAGTTACTAGACTAGATAAAAAGCACTTGCATATGAAGAGATGATCAACCGGAACATCATACCAAGCATGAACATGACAAAGAGTGATTAGACTAATGAAGAGCACATGTATGTGAAGGGAAGATCAATCGGAACATCATACTAAGAATGAGCATGACGATGAGTGATTAGACTAATGAAAATTACATGTATGTGAAGGGAAGATCAACCGGAACATCACACTACGCATGAATATGGCAATGAGTGACTAGACTAGATAAAAAGCACTTGCATATTAAGGGAAGATCAACCGAAACATCATATGAAGCATGAACATGACAAAGAGTGATTAGACTAATGAAAAGCACATGTATGTGAAGGGAAGATCAACCGGAATATCACACTAAGTGTGAACCAGACAAAGAGTGATCAGACTAATGAAAGGCACATGTATGTGAAGGGAAGATCAACCGGATCATCATACTAAGTATGAGCAAGACAAAGAGATGCTAGAGTAGATGGAAAACACTTACATATGAAGGGAAGATCATCCGGAACATCACATGCTATTACATAAGTGAAAACAAGAGTCTAAGTTGGCAAGATCACCAAAGTTGAATCAAAGGCCATCTATGAAAGAAGCGCTATACTACCTACTAGTGTGAGAGTGGAAAACACAAGTTTGAAGCTCCCAAATCATCAAGATTGCATCAAGGATCACTCATGGGTGAAGCGCTACACTACCTACTAGTGTGAGTGTGAAAAACACAAGTTTGAAGCTCCCAAATCACCAAGATTGCATCAAGAAGCATCCATGTGTGA